TGGGAAGTGTCCGTATGTCCCGGGGGATCCGTGTGCCGGATCTCTCCCCGGACCCAGCGCGGCCGCCCCCCGGGTGGGCAGCGTGGGGCCACCCCAGCGAGAAAAACCCCTCGGGGCTGGCTGAAACACGGGCGAGCAGAGCAGGGAGCGGGCAGACAGCACCTCCCGGCCCCCAGACTCGGTGACGCAGCCTGGAGAGGCTCCGGCCACGGCGGGAGCGGCTCGGCCGGCAGCCGCAGCGGGGAATCGTGCCCTCCGGTGGCCGCCGGCAGCACGGCCCGGCCCGGACCGGCCCGGCCCGGACCCGCGGAGCCGCCCCGAGCGCCAGCCCGGCCGGCCCAGCCGAGCCGAGCCCGGCTCAGGTAGGGAGAGTGAGTGAGAGAGATGCTTGTCAGCTTTTCCGAGTCCTTCGTTGTATGAGCTGCCGAGGTGATAGGAAGGAAGAAAAAGGTGAAAGAAGATGAGAAACGGATCCCGCTCTCATACCCTTTATACAGGCATTGTGCCCGTTTGCTGTTGCTGAGAATAAACTTGTTCCAGGGCACAGTGAGAGTTCTCAGCCTGTTTCCCGGTGTGCTTTCTACACGGAGCAAATTACAGCACAAACGCCAGTGAGGAAAAGTTGCTGGGTGTTCTCTCGTCCCTTTAGAAAGGATATGGTCCTGACCAGGCTTTCACCTAGAATCCATAGGAATTAAAATACCTGGCTGTGGAAACTAGTAGGGAAACTTCAATTGATTTCAGTGGTCTTTGCAACATAAAGATAAAACCTCTGAGAAAACACCCGATTGAAGGCTTCGGCATCAAAAACACGCAGGCAGGCTGTGTCTAGGCGTGCATGTATGTAACACATTGCTCAATATTTGCTCAAGGAATCACCAGCAGTGAGAGTTTCACCACAGTGAACAGCCTTTGTGAGCTAAATTACATGTGTATGTGCTTGCTGTATGGGGAATACAGAACAGCCTTATAGCAATACAACTGTAATTTGTGTGTATGCACAATGTGTACAACATATTGATGGGTGGCAACATTGTAGTTGCAACCACCAGATCTTGAGCGCATTAGTTCTTCTGCACTGATTTATAAACAGGCAGACAAAATCAGGCCTTTCATTCATTCATTCTTAGAAATCATGGAAAGAATCAACCTTTTGACCTACTCCCCTTAAAAGCTGTGATGTTTCTGCCTGGCTAAGGCAGATGCTGCTTGTCCCATCCTGCGAGTGTCTCAACAGTTAATGGGTGCTTACAGAAGGGCTGGCATAAAGCTGAGGTGATCCTTTACAGCTATTGTCCTGTGATCAACCGTGATCATCACAGACCAACTTACTCCACACTTCTTCCCCCCCGAAGTTTGTCATTTATTTAGCTATGTGTTCACAACCAATCTAGACGGCTGCTTTACCAGTGTTGTACCTTTCTGCACAGGTGACAAAATTATGGAGTGGTCTGGGTCCTGCCAATGTTCCATGTAAGAATTCATCCCACAACACATATTTTCCTGAGCTGAGGCCCAGGGAAGATTGTAGGAATGGACCTGGAAGTATCTCTAGAAAGGCCCTGGATCTGTTTACAGTTTTGCTTGCTACCACCAAAAAGTGAAATAGGATTGCAATTCTGCCCAAGGAGCCAGGAGAGTTCTTACCCATTCATGCCTATGCATAGAGAAAAAAAGGACATGACATTCTTCATCTCATGCTTTAAAGTGGTTTGCAGAGCTACCTTAGTGCCTTAGTAGAGGTTCAAAACAGATGGTTTAACACTGCATAACTAAAATACAATTATTTTAGTGTGAAATGCAAAGGCTCCACCTCAATCCCCATCAGAACTGTAGATTTCAAAATAAACCAGAATTTAATTGATTTTCTTTAATCTCTGCACAGACTTCACTCCCCTTCCCTCCTGACATATGTATGTATTCACACTGGAAAAGATCAACAGTACATGTATGCACGCACAAACACATCCTCACATATAAACACACCAGTATGTCTTTCTCTTTCAGACCCCCGACATGACTTTCTGACACATCCACCCTCCTCCCAACACAGCTCCACACACTAGGTAGGGTTGCTGCCTGCTGGCAGGCCTGTGGGATCCAGGCAGCTCTCACAGCCGGCCCAGCTCAAGTCCCGTGGGACAGATTGTTGCCACCACAGCTCATCTGGCCCCTGCACCCTGTGTGGGTCTTGACAGTAACATCATGGACCTTTGCTCCTGAGCCCATCATTTGTGAGTCAGAGATAAAACAAAAGCCAAAATGAAGAAGATGGGGGATAGGTTGGGGAGGGTTGTGCAGTCCTGATTCATATAGCAGTGTAGGACCACATAAGTCCTGCTAAACACTGTTGGTTGCTTTTGCTGCACAAAGAGTAGCTGACACTAATGCCCAGCCATCTACTATGGTCAACTAGTCCTCTCTCCTCAATTCCATCCCTACATTTCTCCATGTTTTCCATTTTTACAAACCATGTAATACTACTTCTCCACCTGTCCTTGACTCCCCCGTACACTCTGCTTTTCACACCCTCCTCCTGCCCCATGACAAGCAGGTGCTGTCCTGCATCCCATTCAAAGTTAAGGTTACCCCGAAAAGTTGTGCATCCTGCCAAATCAGCTCAGGAGGTGCTGCCCCTCCCTCCTTTCAGCATCCTGTTCTATCCAGGTTTATTTTTCTCTGTGATGTTTTATTCTCATAAGAAAAATGAGGGAAGGCAGGAAGGCAGACAGGCAGGAAGGAAGGAAGGAAGGAAGGAAGGAAGGAAGGAAGGAAGGAAGGAAGGAAGGCCCTTCTTAGAGCCATCTATAGATGCTCATCGCCACTGTTTCCAAGATTTCTTCTGTAATGACACTGCTCAACACCCCAGAGGAGTAGTGAGGCTCTGGGTACACACAAAATTATTGGTGAGAGGGAGGTGAAAGGTGAGCCAGCTCTTCTTACCTTGGAATCAGCAGCTGCTGCCAACACAAGGGAACCCCTGAAGGTCTCCGGACAAGCCATGATGTTAAGCCGAGTGAAGAGGCCTGCGGTCGCAGAAGACACAGCAGGGACAAGCTGAAAGCCAGGGAAGTTGTGCAGGCTCACTGTGGGTCTGTGCGCCGGCGTGTCTTCCCTTGCCGGCTAAGGCGGTCCCTATTCCCTCCCCGGTCCTGTTTCCCAAAAAAGACGGTTTTGGGCAGACTTCTATGTGCTCTCACCCCGGGATGGAAACCCGAGAAGGAGAGGTCGCCGAGAGGGGCAGAGAACGGAGAAGCGTCGGGACAGCTCCGGCGGCAGTGGGTGCCCGGCAGGCGCTGCGGAGGGGCCGGGGCCAGCGCCCATGGCCGGGCGGCTGCCCCTCGGCGGCGGCGAGCAGGGTCCTGGCCCCTGGCAGCTCCCGGGATGCTCCCTCTGCCCGGAGGAAAGGGAGTCAGTCCCCAGGCAGAGGAGAGAGACGACTCTGTTCCCCGGAGAAGATGACACCACTCTTCCAGCAGCCTTGTCTTGTTTCATGCGGGGGATTTGTCGCTCCTCTGGCATTTCGTTCGCCCTGTCCGCCCTTACGCCCCACACAAGCCGGGGAGCTCTGCGTTGCCCGCTCCGCCCCGCACCCGGCCGTGCCCGGTGGCTGCCAGGCCGGCAGCGGAGGAGCGCGGTCCCCACGCAGGGAGCAGAGAGAACTTCGCCCCGTTTACCGATGGGGGCAATTTCTAGCTTTCCCTCCCAGGCGTTCCCCGTTTGAATCTGAGCTGTTGTTAAAAAGACACACCACCTGCTCTGTGCTGCCAGCGAGCGGGGAAGGAGGCACAAAGGCGGGGGATGGGAAGAAATAGTTTTGGCTGCAGACATAGAAGAGAAATTAAAATAAATAATCTCTTTTCCCAGGAAGTGCCGGACTCGGGCGCCTTGTGGGAGGACGGACTGAAGTGCGTGGTCAGCACACACAGAGTGTGGGCAAAGAGGGTCTGTAACCCTCCCGTCTCCCGGTGTGCCAGGTTGGAAACGCGGATCTTCCCGGGTTTCTCTTAAGACGAGCTCAAGGACTGGTGCTTATGCATGTACGAAGCCAATGCTTGGTTTCCCCACTGCTTCCACCTCTGAAGATGGCTTTCTCCGACCGCAGTCCTCCAGGCTGGCAGGAGGAGGCTGTGCCACTACCCCTCCCCAGCCCAGAAATGTGCGGCTCCCTCGGCAAGTCAGACCCCGGGGCGCTCAGTGATTGGGAGTGCGGCGTGTGCTAAAGCGGGTCAAAATTAGGATGTGCCTGGATGCTGTCCCGCGGGTTATTTCCCTTTCCTTCTTTCCGCTACAAGCCGTGCCCGCTGCGGCGAGGAAAGCCCGAGAGGTGCGGGCTTTGCCCGGCCGCTCGGCCCCAGAACAGGCACTGAGCTGCTCTCGCTGACCCCTCCGCAGCAGCGCACCCGTGCTGGGCACCCCCACAAGCTCCCGGCCCGGCCCCTCAGCACCACCCCAAAGCCGAGCGCTGACCGAAGAGTTTGAGAGGGGAAACCACGGAGAGGGAAACCGAGAAAGAGGTTGGGGTAAGGATGTATGTGCGTGCGTGTGGGGAAGCCAGATCACTTGTGAATGGCTTGAAAAAAAAATAATTGGGGGAGGGCGTGGAGGGGGGGAAGCGGAAACTTTCCTATAAAACTCAGCAAAAGTCCCTCCTCTCCACGTCAGGCCAATGACACTGCTGCCCCCAAACTTTCCGCCAGCAGGAGCTATAAGAACCTCCAAGTCTTCAACTTTCTCCCAATCCCAGACACCTCGAAGGGGCTCCAAGGAGGGATCGGGAGGGATTTTTTTTTTTTTTTTTGGTTGGCCTTTTTATTTTTTTCCTCTTGGATCCTGATGCCATCCCCCCTCCCCCCAAAGTGAGGTCCTCCCTCCTTCCTTCCCTCCTCCTTCTCCTCGCAGGCCAGCGAAGCAGCCGATCAAGGGGGAGCTGGCGGGTTAGGTGCCCCCCTCTTCTCCCTGCCCTCCCCCCCCTCCCGGCCCGCTTCTCGCGTCTCCCCCCAGAGATGATGCAGCAGGACGAGTCAAACTCGCCAGTCTCCCCCGCCGACGACAGCTTGAGCAACAGCGAAGAGGAGCCGGACCGGCAGCAGCTGCCCAACAACAAGAGAGGGGGGCGCAAGCGCCGCTCCAGCCGCCGCAGCGCCGGCGGCGCCGTCGGGGCCGCGGACGAGCCCTGCAGCCCTGCCCAAGGCAAGCGGGGCAAGAAGTGCGGGGCGGGCGGGGGCGGCGGGGGCGGCGGAAGCAGCAGCGGCGGCGGCAGCCCCCAGTCCTACGAGGAGCTGCAGACCCAGCGGGTCATGGCCAACGTGCGGGAGCGGCAGCGCACGCAGTCCCTGAACGAAGCTTTCGCCGCCCTGCGGAAGATCATCCCCACGCTGCCCTCGGACAAGCTGAGCAAGATCCAGACCCTCAAGCTGGCGGCCAGGTACATCGACTTCCTCTACCAGGTCTTACAGAGCGACGAGCTGGACTCCAAGATGGCAAGCTGCAGCTATGTGGCCCACGAGCGGCTCAGCTACGCCTTCTCGGTGTGGAGAATGGAGGGCGCCTGGTCCATGTCCGCATCCCACTAGCAGGCGGCGTCCCCCACCCGCATCCCTCCGGCAGGAGCCCTAGGTAAGACAGGGACCCCGAAACCGGCGAGAGGAAAGGGGGGAGGGAGGCGTGAAGCCGCCGGCTGCGCCGTGAGCCGGGCACGCGTGGCCGTGGGGCGAGAGGCCCTGCACCCCGCCCGGAGGGGCCTGGCTTCCCGGAGCAGCCGGGAGCGGGGCGGCTGGAGGTGCCTCCCCCGCTCCGGCGTGTCCCTCCTCCTGCGCGGCCCGAGGTGCGCCCCGGGCCCGGGGGGCCCACGCGTGGCCGGGCAGGGTGGGCTGCGGGCGGGAGGCGGCGGCGGTGCGGGTGTGCCCCAGCCAGATGGGGCCGGCCTGAGATCACTTTTTCACCAAACGCCGCGGAGCCAGCAGGGCTGCTGGGACGGCTCCTGCTGCCGCCGCCGCTGCTGCCGCTGCTCATATTTTGAAGTGAATCCATGTCGTCCCGTTGTGCTGCCCGAGGAGGGTTTCCTACCGCCCCAGCAGTCCCTTTCCTCGGCTCTGACACCGGCACCGCCGGGCTGGGGCATCTATCACACGGGCACCGCACCGCCCGCTCGGCGAGTTCTCCCTGCTCCATTCCTGCCCGATGCGCGTATTTCCAGAGACAGAGAGGTGTAGGTAGATGTTTGTATAACTTTCGTTTCAGTAACGAGTTTTCCGCCCTTTCTGGGTTTTTGCAGATGACATTGTTCCCACAGAAGGAGAGAATGGACAATCTAGAGACTCTGAAGTTGGATACGATTTTTTTTTATCTTGTCTAACAAAAAATGTACCAAGGATTTCTTGGAAATTAGAAGAGTAATATCCAAATTCAAAGCAGGGCGTGGGGAGCACTTAAGGAAAGAAAGAGAGAAGGGCTTTGGACAGTGACTACCCTCTGGGCGTCGGTACAATCCACACATCTCTGCATTCTGATAGAAGTCTCAATCGTTCGATTTTTTTTTTTTAATTTTGACGAAGAATGTTGGAATTGAACTTTTTTTATTTGCCCTTTTTTTTTTTTCGCATGCATGCATTCCCAAGAGTTCGTGCCTATGAGCCACTGATGAAAGGAAATATATTATTGCATTATTGTGGACTTTCTTCATTCTTGAATGAAACCAAGCAGCCAACCAAAAATATCCCTGTAGAGATGAAAACCTTTTATTTTTTTTTTTTTTTTTTAGGGGGGAAATAAGCTGGGCTCAAGTTGTTATATACCCGGTTCCTAACTTTTTTATTATTATTATTTTTCCTCTGAGAAAAAAATAAACATTTTATTTATTTATTGATGACCCATGTTAAAATGCAAATAGATCCGGTGTCTAAATGCATTCCTATTTTTATGATTGTTTTGTAAATATCATTGTATATTATTTTTCTGCAATAAATAAATATGATTGAAATTTTAATAACCTTAAAGTTTGGTTTCTCTGAGAACTCAAGGTTAAAACTGTAGATAAATACCTGCTTGTTGAGGTGTAAAGACACCCAAGAGAGAGGGGCACTAGTATAAACAAACCAGGCGAAAAACGCAAATAAACCAGCTACTGACAGACACAGGCACGTTATTTATTGAGACAGCTTTATTATTCTGCACTGAAGCTCAGTGCATCTGCAGAGGAAGGTATTGTCTCTTCTCTCTTTCTCTCCCTCTCCCCCTTTAATCTTCACGCCAGGCACGGCGGAGTTGCGCGGGGAGCGGAGTTTTCACAGCAGAGCTCTACCCCTGCCTTCGTGTTTTGCCCCCAGTTGTGAGGCAGGAGATGGGCCCGTTCCCCAGCCCCCGGTACTTTTGCTGATATCCCTGAGGAAGTGGTTTTAAACAGGGATTCGTCCATCCAAAGGCAAAGCAAAAGAAAGTGAGCTTGAAATAGGGAAGTGTCTAGCGAGTGGGGTTTTCCGGTGGAAGTGATGTTTGCTCTGCTCTCTAGGGTTTTATATAATATATATACTAGCCATCACGTTTTCGTTGTGCAAAGCACGGAGGGATACTCTAACCCGCCCTCTTCTCCTTTTCTACGTGTAGGGCACATATTGCCCCTCTTTCTTCTCACCATGCTTTCCGCGGGGTCCCAGTATGCGGGAGAACCCGAGCTGCAAAAGAGAGGGAACCTCCAGATCTGAGGGCTCGGACGGAAGGTGAAAGGGAAGTTGTAAAAAGAAATCCAGAAAACAAAACATCTCAAAGCAAACCTCAGCCCTTATAAACGGACAGCTGATTGAGTGTCTGCTGCCACTTGCTTATCTCCCAGCGCTTGGCAGCCGGGCAGTGAGCGGGGAGCAGCGCGTCCTGCCCCTCCGTGGCCACGGAAGGTGTGCGGGGACCGCTGCTGTCCTGGGAGCTGAGCTGTGCCCTCCGTAGAGACAGGCACTCTGCCGCCGGAGCTCGGCCAGCGTCTCGGGTAAATAGGATGGGGTAGCTCTTCAAGACAGAGCCTGTTTGCATAGCCCATGAGTTGACTTTATTGCCTGTATTTGTTTCCACATCCGCATATCGCCGTCTATTATCCACATAGCAGTATTATGAATATAGTATAATATCGGGCATATTTTTAGCCAATGCGCAATGTTTACAGTAGAGAGCCCGCAGCGCTGGTTTGCACTGACGGATTAGCGAGGACTTGAAAATTAGATGACGGCCCTGGTGGTCGCAGCTCTAAGTGATGGAGAGGCGGGAGGACTTTGCGAGCTCCTAAATGGTCGCCGCCTTTCCCCGGCACCCTGGCACCCGCAGCTGCCCTCTCGGAGACTCCGAACCCCCGGCTCCGATGCGACCGGCTGCCGAGGAGCAGGTAATGTCTGCCCGCGTTACTTCGGCTGCAGCGAAGGCGAGAGGCACAGGGAGCCGGAGCAGCTTTGGCAGTGAGGCTAAGGGAATTTGGGAGGTTATAGAAGATTTCGGTTGTTCCTTTCGGGGGAGAAATCACACCGGGGAAAGTTGGGAAAAACTCCCCACTTTTAGAAAGAAAAGAGGTTCCGGGAGTGAAAGAAACAGCCAACCAGACGAGCTGTTCGGTGCTGAAGAGAAGGCATGTTGCGTGGAAGGGGATTCCTGCGAAATGTGAACGAGGAATCAAGTGCACTTTTAAAGCCACGAATCAAACTGTGCTCGGCCTCAGAAATCGGGAGAGGCCCTGCTTGACGGACTTAAACCTGACTGGCTCTGTTGCAACCAGCAAGAGGCCTCTGGGCCAACCGGTGCAACACTTTTCCAGCAAGCTAAACACCGGAGTGAGAAAAATCCCTAATTCCTATCCGTGGGGCTCATGCCACCGGCAGGTCTTTATTTCTCACTTCTGTGTCCCTTTGAGCGAGTCCCTGCCGGCGCCGTAGCATTCCCGGGCAGCGGGCACTCAGCCGGCGCTCTTTCCCGCCTGACAACCTCTACCTTAGCCGCATTTATAAAAAAATAAAATTAAAAAAAAACCATAAAAGAGATATAAACCTGTTTTAAAACCAATAGCGTACCCTTTCCTGGGTTGAAACTGGGGACTGCAGATGCCTGGTGCTCCTCGGGCTAGAGCCAAAAACGATTAAGTCAGCGTCAGGCTCACTGAAGGAAAAAAAAAAGAAATAATATGTATATTAATTTGCCTTCTGGGAATTTTAAACACTCTTGCAATCGGGAAATTAGCTCTGCCTTTGGAAATCCTGATTGATTTCGCTTTTTATTTCTCAGAGGCATCAATCTACCCCTTGCATTCGCAGGCTGAGAGGTCCGGGCCGGTGCGGCCGGGGCGCGGAGCGGCGGTGCCGGGGCTGCGCCTCCTGCGGGGCGGCGGGCGGGGGGCGCCGGCCGCGGGCCCTCGCACATTCCTGGGTTTGGCAGGGGCCGCCCCGCTGCTTTCTCCAAGCCCGTATCGGATTCCTCCCCGGCGTATGATTTCACTTGAAGTCCTGCCCAGGAGCCCTTCAAAGTGCGCTCTTGTCCCGCTCCCATGATGTCAGGCGGTTTTCCCTGCATCTGTAATTTTAAGAAAAACAAACAAACGCGCCGTGGGGATGTGCGGGGAAACGGAGGGAGAGGGCGGGGGCACAAAAGTCACGGAAAAGCGCATGGGGAGAGGGACTCACCTGCGGCGCCGGCAGCCCGGGCACCTGCCTCCCGGGGCGAGCCGCCGCGGGGCTCGGCGACTCCCGGGAACGGGCTCAGCTGCGGCGCCGCTGCTCTCCGGGTCGCTCTCGGTGGCTGCATCCGCCCCGGTCACACGGCTCTCCCTTCACCTGCCCGCGCCGGCAAGCAGCAGACCCGCCGGGAGAGCGGGAGCGCTCCCGCCATAAATTAGCATCTTTGGGAAGCGGGTGGTGGTGGTGGTGACGGCAAATCCAATCCACCCCGTAAAGGGATCCGGGAGGCTAAAGGGAGAGAAAAAAAGAGAGGCGCACACATCCACATCCCATCAGGACTTATTTTATTTGCTGCACACATAACCTGCCCGCAGTAAACATGGCACAGGATGTATTTTACATTAACTTCTGCACCAGCTTCTTTCGACTTCAGTCCACTTAATGTTCTTGGCAAATCAAAGCACGTGTCCTTTGAAGAAGGTGTGTAATTGGAGTTTAAGGCATGTATGGAATTCCCAGATGTCTATAAAGTAAGAAGGAGCATTTGGCAGGTCACTTGAAGGTGGAGCAGGTTAAAATCACTTGTAGAAAAGTCCCCCTTTTCTTTTTTAAAAGCAAACAAGCCGGCCATTTATACGGACCGAGTGATCGACATTGCGGGAGGCTTAGAACGGTTTTACAGAGCACGAACAATAAAGCTGAGGAAACCTAGTGATGATGGTAGCACCCGTTTTAAAATCCGAAATAAAAAGCAAAACAAAACTAAATATTCAGATCGGCGAAAAAATTGTCCATTCTCTTTGTAATTCTCTGTCTTCTCCGCCCGCTCAGGATCACTTACACCGTTCTTATCTACATAGTCGTCTTGTCTTGGTTAGCGGACACTCCCCATTCTTTTCATAAAGAGGTGACATTAAATTTGAAGAAATTTTACAAAATTTCCCTTGTTCAATATATGGACAAGGGCAAGAAAAGAAGAGTTTTATTCCAAAATAATTCAGACGAACCACGCTGGGATAAAGACGGCTAAAGGTATCAGGAGCAATTAATAACAGCAGAAATAATAACGGAATAGGTTCAGGACAATTAGATGCTGATAATTTCACTTTGAGAGTATTATCAGAGTTCGTGCAAAATATTAGCCCGAGTAGGACCACGGGTTCGCTTGGGGGGGAGGGGGGGATGCCGCAAATCCTGTTTGCTGGGCTGAGAAATCCCAAAGCGAAATATTGCGGCGGGAAGAAGACCCGCTCTGCCCTCCTAATGCGGGGAATTCTGGAGGTGGGAGGGGGCGAGATGAGGAAGAATGCTCTTGGGAAGGGTCGGGGTCTCCCCCTCATGATTAGGGTTGCTTTGTTCTAATCGAGCAGAGGCAGTCATTAAACAAGCAGTCAAGAAAGGAGCAATACACGCGACTGCAAGCCGTGGAGGAAAGGAGAGCTTCAGAGGGGAAGGGATTTTGACATGTGAAAAGTTAAGCAGGTACCTGAAGGAGGTTTATTTTGACCAGATGTTAGAGATTTTATGAAAATGTCACGTGAAGCGAACAGATGTACAACTTGCAAATGGAGCCCCGCCTTGTAAACACTGGGAAGAGAAAGGCTCGCAGAAATTCAAGCATAAATCATTCCTCCTTTTTCTGTATGTGTGTATTTGCACATATATGTGCAATACGTAGGCTTTATTTAAACTGCTTTTTATTTGTTTGTGAAAAGAAACCAAAACAGCCGTTCTGTCCAAGCTTGCTACCCTCTTCCAGTGCGCGTAACCAA